ATACCTATTTGAGACGGTTAGCCGATTGAGAGCGCGGTAGTCACCGCGGTGATACCATGTGCACTGAGTTTCCTTACAGTGTCCACAATCATCTGGCCTATCGCATCGACCAAGAAGTCGAAATACCTAGAAAAGTCAATGACAATAATGCAAACGGGACTGCAGCACCGGTGTATATCAAGCGGAACGTGCGCCGGAGACCTACATCTATGATAAACGACCGACGACCGTAGGTTGTTATTGGTGTACTTTGGCTTGCCCACAAAAAAGCGGTAGGCTCACCTAATATAGGGGGAATGACGCTGACCTCCGCGCCGGCATCAATTAAGAACTGGGTCTCGGAATCATAATCCCTAATATAGATGAGACGGTTTTGAGTTTTGCTGATGTCGTTTGTGGCCATTACAAGCCGTTGTGGCTACATGGCTGTACGCACTTACGAGATTTAGTTCCGAAACGCGAGTGGTAAAAGCAGTAACCTGTGGCATCAGGTTTTGTGCGACGGGGCGATGATCCAGAATCTCTGCGGTGCTTACGGTTTAAATTGAGCTTCTCGATATAGCGCTGAAGAGACGCTATCTGCGATGATAATGCGTCTATTGCCGACGGCTGGCTTGTCGCGCTTGTCGGTGTGGTTGCGTCAGAACAAAGCTTCTTAGGTGCTTTGGTTTTAGTCTCGGGCTGGTGTCTTCCGATGACGCGGTCTGCTAGATCTGCAATTGCTGTTAGTGGCAGGTCACTTGCTACTGCAAGGATAGTCTGAGTGATTTTAGGAATGCGTTGCATCCACAACTTCCGGAGAATCCCTACGTCCATCTTGGACTTGCTGATAAGTTGTTGCATTGCACGCAACAAGGCTAAGAGCATCCCGTCTCCCAGCTGCAGATCCCTAAACATTTTCTGCAGTTGGACCTTGTCAGAAAGCGTGATTCGCTGAATAATAGCTTGTTTAAGAGTCCTGTATTTCCGTACTAGAGGTCGGCAAAATATGATGTCTCTCACCTGCCGAGACGCTCCAACCGAGGCCAGCTCAGAAGTGCGGGCTTTCATTCCTCTGGACCAAGTCATCGCTTGGCCACCCCTCCTCTTCTTCCATCCACACCCCCGGCGTGCAAACAACACACGTCGCGGGAGTCGGTGGGTTGGCATGCGTAACACGAGGCCGAATCATCGGAGCCTGATGCGTGAAATAACGGTGCTGAACGGTTCAGTTCTTTTCCTATGCCGTAAACGAGGCGCCGAACACGCTCGTTGCTCACGCGGTGTTCCCACCAGATGTGAGCTAAATTACGAAGTCACCGGTGGTCGAACGTAACTAGACTCTTCAGGTCCGCTGCTTTATCGGCCAGGTTTCACAACCGTACAAAAGGGTCGAACGTACTGCTGCATTGTACACTCTACCTTTCAGGGCAAGAGTGATGTCGTGCCGGCGCCATAAGTGGCGAAGGTTGGCAAAAGCGCCCCGAGCTTTTGCTATACGATTCGTGATTTCATCTTCAATCCCACGGGCGCTGATACCACCTACCAGGTAGTTGAATTTTTGAACGACTTCTAGCTGATCCACACCAACGGTCAGCACAGGAGGCGGTGCAGACCAATCTTGGAAGAACGCTTTGCACTTCGAGGGTGCGAAGCAAAGCCCGAAGTGACGGACAGCTAGTGCTAATCTGTCCAGTGCCGCTTGGCACGTTTGTGAGCTGTCGCAGATTAGGGCAATATCATCAGCATACTCCAAGTCAAGAAGTCGTTCTCCTGGGAGCAGATCCACACCTTCTAAGTCGTGTCCTGTAAACGCGATTTCCATGACTTCGTCAACAGCGAAGTTGAAGAGGAAAGGTGACAGCGGGCATCCTTGTCTCACGCCGCTGGAGATATTAAAGGGCGACGACAACTTGCCGTAAGCCCTCACTCTGCCCGAGCTACGTGCATATAATGCTCGGATAATATTCACATATTTCTCAGGTACACCTTTCCTGAGTAGACAGTCCCAAAGTGCATGTCTATCCACCGTGTCGAATGCACCTTTGATATCGAGGAACACGACAACGGTGGGCCGCCAATATATGTGACGGTGCTCCAACAACTGACGCAAGGTGAAGATGTGGTCAATGCAGCCACGACCTCGACGAAATCCAGCTTGCTCTTCACGAATCTATCTTTCACGAGTGCCAGTCAGTCTGTGAAGGATGACAGAGGCAAGCAATTTGGAGGCAATGGAGATCAGACTGATTCCTCTATGGCTGCCGCATTCCGATCGTGAGCCTCCTTTGAAAATTGGGACTATGATGGAGCGGCTCCAATCGGTTGGGACAGTTTCCTGTTCCTACAGTTTCACTCGTAACTCGTATAAATTATCCACAAGGCAGGTCCCCCGAATTTGAAGAGGGCTGGAGGAAGGTCATCAGGTCCCGCGGCTTTGTTTAACTTCAACAGTTCGATCTCACGTACGACTTCTGAGTGAGAGGGTGGATCCAAAGGGACAGCCCAGTGAGTGGGACGATCAGTGGCCGGGGAGAAATCTAACCATTCCGACCGATTAAATTGCTTTTCTTAGTTGTCAGCCCAACGCTCTCAACGTTTTGATAAGTTGTGGATATGCTGTCCACTCTCGTCACGTATAGTTTCACTAACACCAGATCTTCTGCTGCCCGTTTCCCGTATAAGACGGAATAACTTACGATGGTTACCAAGGGCAGCGGCCATTTTCATCTCTGATGCACGATGAGACCACCAGGATTCGCGGTCTCTATTCAAGCTAGCGCGGAGTTTCACTCGGAGCACTTTGCGGGTTTCACTGTGTTCGCTTCCAGCCGGAATATGCCGGCGAGCATCGATAAGTTCCAGAGACTGTGAAGAGACCCAATGTCCATGTTGACGATTAGACATACCACATGAGGATTTTCCTGCTGCTAGTAAGGTCTGGTGAATATGAGACCAGTGAGTTTCAATTGCATCCAGTGAGTGATTATCCAACTCGCATGACAACGTACTTTGATACGCATTCAGAACAGCTGGCTTCGCAAGTTGACTGGTGTCCATGCGGTCACAACGTCGTCATGGGCGTCCGCCAAAGCGCATCCGCATGTCAGCACATACAAGTGCATGGTCGGTGTCTACACATGTGCTCCAAATCGAGCGACTGTTCTGGACGCAACCTCTCCATCGGTAACTTATCGCAATGTGATCGATTTACGTCCATAGCTGATTCGAGGCTGGTAGGCGCCAAGTCAACCTCCAGCGGGTGCTGTGTCGGAAATTAGTGCTCGTAAGAAATAAGCGAGCATCTTCACACAAATGAAGTAACCGCTCACCGTTATCATTACGGGAGCCTACACCGTGCTGAGCGTCCAGATGCAGTTCCTTAGTGGACAATATTTCAAATTGAGGTTCCAGATCCCCAGCCAGAACAAAAGTGTCTAACCTTCGTCTGTGGCGAAGGAGCTGGGTCACCTGACGTTGGAAGTCGTCTTTTACCGAGTCATCGCTAGAGTTTGTCGGTGCATAGGCAGCGATAACGAATAGACACCTATTAGTCACACGCGTTTTCGAAGCCTTGAACGAGCCAGCCAATCGGACCGCACACATCCGGCTACTGATTGGAATCCGAACCACCAGTAGCTTCAGCCCGGGGACTCAGGGCAATACCAACAGCTGCTTGGCCGGTGCTCGAAGCTGCATCGTCCCCGGAAAGGCGCAATGAGAAAGTGCTGACAGTGTCACCTGAAGGGGATGGCAGAGTGAGCACAGAGCTCGAGTCTTGCAGGCGGGTCTCCGATAAACAGCGGATATCGATCGAGAGGATCTCTAATGT